GGAAGTAATTATCAAACCAAACATTATCTTCTTTTTTGCCCATCACTCTTATGGCTCTATTCTCCCATGATGAGGATGAACTCTGTCATCTTCTAAAACCCCACTTCTCCAAAATGAAGAAAAAGTTCATTTTCCCTTTGCTTGTCCACATTTTCAATCTGAGACCTTATTATAAACTTCGTCAAAACACTGTCACACTCTTAACTGCCTCTTAATATTTTGTGTCCATCGTATTGTGGAAAGAAATTATGCGATTGACAGCTTGTAATGTTTAATGAAATTGTAAAAATGCTTCATTTTTGTTTATATCTAATTAACTACTCATTGCTAGACATACATTAAATGGTCACACTATAAGAGTCTTATATTAAACAATGAGCCGATTATAACTGCCTCCACCAATAACTGTCGGCCACAAAATGAAGAACAAAATACAACACATATCTATTGGAATTCAAAAGCTCTAACTTCCAAGGAAAAGACAATGAAAAATACCATTTGAACACAAAACTCACATATGGGTCTAAAAAATTTTCATGGCTGTTAATGGCAATACAGACAAATTGAATACAGACACACAGCTGCAAGATTCCCCCGATGTTGGTCTCTCTCTCTTTCTTCTCTATTTTTCAATCTCCTTTTAAACCCCTCGTTCCTCTCAAGCACTTATCTACATTGCAATTGCAGTTGCAGTCGACAAGATGAGGATGCTGAATTTTTTTGTTCTGGTGGTGATGATAATGCTGCTGCCGGGCGCTGCCGTTTCTTACGGCCAAAACTGGACGGTTGGCGGCGGGGGAATGAGAAGAGTTGAAGATGAGTACTTGAAGTGGATAAGACATATGGGTTCTTTCAAGCACTCTCTTTTTCAAAACACCAAGAACAAGTTCAAGCCTTGTTTGACGCTCAGGGTCTCCAAGAAGCCAAAGCCGGGGGGATTCCGGTCGGTGCAGAAGGCTATCAACTCTCTGCCCCTCATCAACCGGTGCCGTGTCGTCATCCATGTCGCCGCCGGAATCTACAGGTCACTTTCATTTTACTCATTTTTAATATTTATACTATTTCTTTTGTTAAAAAAATCATAAACTTTCCCATTTATATTTAATTGGTTTCAAAAAGTGTAATTTAATAAATCATTGTCGACATTTTTTTAGTAAAAAAAATTACTTTTTAACTCAAAAATATATGCTAAAATTAGAATCTTTTAATATCAAATTCCAAAAGTCTGTCAAAATTAATTGTATTTGTAATTTTTTAATACAAATGCATTTATTAAATTAAAAAAATATGGAATTAGAATAAAAAGTTAGAGGTGTTTGTTCCATGTTTTATTAGGGAGAAGGTTGAGATTCCGGCGATGATGAGTTACATATGGGTGGAGGGAGAAGGAGCGGAGAAGACGGTCATTGAATGGAGCGACACGGCGGACCATATGGGTGACAACGGCCGTCCGATCGGCACTTTTGGTTCTGCAACTTTTGCTGTTAATTCACCCTTCTTCATCGCTAGGAACATTACCTTCAAGGTTACTTTTTCACTCTCTAAATATATATATTCAATATTTTTGTTTATATTCTAAATTTAAGAGGAAATAAAATAGGAGTGTCGTATGTAAATGGTAATTTGCTTGTGACTTCCCATGACTGGACTGACATTATAGTTCTTGGAAGCATATGGAGACTACAATTTAAAATGTGATAATGGTCGGTATCAATTTTTAAATTTATTATAACAATTAATACGGAACTGTAAGTATTTTATTCTTTTATTTATTTCGCACAATAATTAAATATTTTTTTTTAAAATAAAATAGAACAAGGCGAGGGCGCCGCCGTCGGGGGCGTTGGGGAAGCAAGCGGTGGCTTTCAGAATAACGGGAGATGCGGCTGCGTTCATAAGCTGCAGGTTCATCGGTGCGCAGGACACACTGTACGACCACTTGGGGCGGCACTACTTCAAGGACTGCTACATCGAGGGGTCGGTGGACTTCGTGTTCGGGGACGGGCTGTCCATCTACGAGGGGTGCCATTTGCACGCCATCACTGACAGCTACGGCGCTCTGACCGCCCAGAAGAGGAACAGCCTACTGGAGGAAACGGGGTTTTCGTTCCTCAACTGTAAGGTTTCGGGGTCGGGGGCTCTGTATTTGGGGCGGGCCTGGGGCAGCTTCTCCCGAGTGGTGTTTGCTTATACCTTCATGGATAAAATCATCACTCCCACTGGTTGGTACAACTGGGGCGACAAAAACCGCGAACTGTAAGTCTTTTTTTTTTTTCTTAATTAATTATTTTTTATTATTAAAAAAAAACATAATGATGAGGAGTATGCGGATGTAGGACTGTATTTTATGGGCAATACAGATGCTCAGGACCAGGAGCAGATTATGGAGGACGAGTTTCATGGTCTAGAGAACTCACTGAGCCTGAAGCCAACCCCTTTGTGTCTCTCGATTTTATTGGTGCAAAAGAATGGCTTCCAAAGCGCACTCATCTCGCCATTAAATCACCACCACATTGACTCTCTCTCTTCTTTTTTTTTTTTTTTTTTTTTTTTTTTTTTTTTTTTTTTTTTTTTTTTTTTTTTTTTTTTTTTTTTTTTGAGAAAGTGTTGAAAAGATAGGGTGGACCACGTGTTTTAGTTTGTCGGAATTCATTGGACCATCATGTTTTCACCCTCCTCAACACCCAAATATTTCAGAAATGGTAGTTTTTTTTTTTTTATAAAAAAGAAAAACTTGGTCTATGCATCGTGAAATGTAAAAGGATGGGGCCACTCAGAAAAGGGTTGTGAATAAAAATGACCCAAATCTAGACGACACTGAAATCTACCTAAAAGCGAGCCCAACAAAGGGATAAACACCATTATTGGGTTGAGGCTGACTAGAGGCTGCCCAAGGCCAACAAGGACCTACCCTTAAGGTCCACCACAGTTCACTCGACCGAGTCTATGGGGACGAATGCTTTATCGACAAGAATGATAAATATAAACCAGGGTGTGAAATGAGGAACACCCGACTTCCCACCAATCCTCTGAAACCTCAAGCTCACCCATGTTTTGGGTCCAGCCCAACCTCTTTCAAGTATAGGTACACTAGATGATGAATATGTAATATTACAAGGGAAAGTTCCAACAATACTTTATACTGATAAAATAGATTTTTTATCCAATTATAATTACGAACAACTTGCTTGTTACAACGAACTTTAAATAATTGAATTATAATAAAAGTAAAAAAATAAAAAATGAAAGTATAATAAAATTTAAACTAAAAGATTATGGATTATGAGATAATTAAAATGGAGGTGAGTCTTTTTTTAAATATATATTTTTTTAAGTTCAATATGAATGACACTTTGTTAGCCTTTGAACCCGGGGTGAGATATCATAGTTGTATTATTAATTTTTTAAAAGAAAAAACATAACACATTTCATTAAACTATATATTGAATTGATGCTCACGGTTTGAAAACATAAGCCCATGTGAATCAAAAAAAAAAAAATATAAACCCATACATTCCAACGTGAAGACATAGATTTATTCATTACAAATTTTAATAATAAAAATTAAATATTTATACAGAGAATAACAATTTAATCTCGAACTAATTACTACAAGAAGTGTATGGTTTAAAATTTTTTAAATAAATAAAATTAGGTGCTTTTATTTCATTGAATTATTTTATGGGTTAAAATTATATTGATAACTCAATAATACTCGTTGCATTTAAATGGTATGAAGAATTGAATTTGTTTTGTAAATAAGAAATGGTGGAGTTAGATTAGACGCAAATAGAAAGAATAAAAGAGAACAGGGGGTGACGTGGATGGGAACATGTTTTAAGCGTTTTTCGCAAAGGGAAATTTTCATGGAGGTGGAGTGGTCCCAGGTTTTCCGTGGCATTGACAGCGTGTTTTGCACCCACGTGGTGATCGAAGCGAAGGCTACCACATCACCCACAACACGGCTGCGTTTGGTTTGACCATTAACTTCCTTGCTTTTATTTGCTTACTCCTCCACCGTGTCGCCATTGTATTCAAACGCGATTTCACTCCGTTTTTCTGACGGCAAATATTGAAAGCTAAAATGTAATATTTTAAAATATAAGAATTAGATTGAAATACTTTTAAAGTACTAAATTAAATGAAAGGGAAGTTAATGATACTTTTACCAAACAACTTAGGCATAATACTTTGATTCCGAATAAGATGGGGTGTTGATCATGGAATCGTGACCTAATACATTTGCCATTTTCTACTAATTCAGTCACGTGGACCTTTGTCCCTTCTAGATTGTTAGTTAAATGTGAACATTTTGTTGGGAATTAAGGATGGGATGGTTGGAGTCTACATTTTATTTCATCCGCTTAGTACATAGTTTACGAATGAATTCTAGCTGCTTTATGTTGGTTTTGTTTTCACCTCCTTCTATCTTCTTTTTTATAAAGAAAGTACAACCATTTTTCTCAATGTTTGCTAATCTAACTCGTTTAAATAAATGTGAACATTTTGTTGGGACTTAATTTTTGAGTAACGAGTAAGAATTATATAGTTTAATGAAGTAGGAGGTTGGAGAATGTGTTTTATTATTACTATGTATGTATTGAAGTTAATTAGATAGTAATTTTTTGAATGTGGAATTAATTCTTACCAAAATAGGGTAAAAAATGAGTGCCAAGGGTAACTCCAACAATGGAGAAAAGAATTTTACAGAGAAATAAATGCAAGTACATCCCCGAGAAACGCAGTGAAAAATTGAGGTGTTGGTCAAAATGAGAGAACAAAAAAGAGAATCAACCAGAAAATAATTAGGAATGCTTATTTTCAAATGTTGCCACAAAAAGGAAAAAGAAAAAAAAAGGAAATTTTGTTGAGGCGGGAGTCGGTCCCTCCCAAACTTTACGTACTCAATCTTCTCTCTCTCTCTCTCTCTCTCTCTCACTAGAGCAGTAAAAAAAAAAAAAAAAAAAAAAAAAAAAAAAAAGAAGAGGGGAATAAACAAAANCATCCTCCTCACCCAGTCCCATTTCCGAATGCTTTCTGGCCAGACCAGACCAGACCGACCACGGAAAGGCTTCCTTGCCTTGCCTTCTCCAGAACTTAGGGTTGCCAATTCAACCTCAACCTCTGCTTACTTTCCATTCCTCTTCCCATCCTAATTTCCCTTGATCCTCTTCGATCTTCATGGATAAACCCGACGACCCGCCTTTCGATTTCCATAAACCCCGTCTACAACCCCATCACCGGGATGCTCCGCTCTCAGACGTCTCCGTTTTGGGGAATTCTGCTCAGGCTCCGGACCTGATGGATGTCGATCATTCCTGTTCTGTTCCGGATACGGATGATTCGCAGCTGGTAGGAGCTCCGGTTCAGATGGCTGGACCGGTCGTTCTTTCGAAAGCTGGTGCTGATTCTTCACCTACGGTGAATGGGGGATTGAAGGAGAAGAGTTTGGGGATTCGGCGGCGAGGTCGGCCGCCTCGGTGCCAAGTCAAGGCCCCGCCGCCTCCTCTGCAGCAAAACAAGGACGAGGAGGATGTGTGTTTTATTTGTTTTGATGGTGGGACTCTTGTTCTCTGTGATCGCCGGTGAGTGGAATTTGTTTTTGTCAATTTGTTGTCTCGGACTCTCGTGGTTTGCCGTGAGTTTCGGGGATGTGGGAGGATTTTTATACTTCGAATTTTGTTCATTCTTTGCTTTGCATTTGCGCCTTCGCCTTTTATTTAGGGAATTATGTCTCGATCACAATTGAGATTTGTTCATTAATTGTATCTTCTATTTAAGCGGAGAATCCGCTGTTAATATAATACGATTTTTTTTTTCTTGATCTAGTTGAGGTGAGGTAGGGAAATAGTAAGTCTTTAATTTTGTACATTAAGGTGAGAAAGAGTATTCTTATTGGAGCATTGTATTACAATTTGAGCTCAATTGTTTCCATTTATTGTCTGTTAGTCTTTGCATGTGCCGGCTTGTGATATGTTTGATTCGTTTCCCCTTCAAAAATGGGTTTTCATTCATTGTTAATTGACAGAGGTTGTCCAAAGGCTTATCATCCATCATGCATCAAGCGAGATGAGTCCTTCTTTCGATCGAAAGCTAAATGGAACTGTGGTATGTAGCTTCGTGTTTTTTTTTTTTTTTTTTTTTTTTTTTTTTTTTTTTTTTTTTTTTTTTTTTTTTTTTTTTTTTTTTTTTTTTTTTTTGTTTTTGTTTTGTTTTACGTAGTAGGAGTGGATATCATTATAATACTGCTTACCCAGTATTCACCATCTTATAGTATTGAAGATGCAATTCTTTTCATCATTGTGCAGGATGGCATATATGCACTAAATGTCAGAAGGCTTCCTATTATATGTGCTACACATGCCCGTTTTCTCTGTGCAAAGGATGCACTAAAGGTGCTGATTATCAATGTGTTAGGGGAAGCAAAGGGTTCTGTGGAACATGTATGAAAATAATAATGTTAATCGAGAAAAGCACTCCTGAAGCAGAATCGGTAAGCAAAAATTCTATATGCCATTCCTGTCTATGCATGCATGATGATATTTTATTTCTTAATTCTACTTATTCTTCCATTTTTAGAGTGGTGCATATGAAAAAATGCATTCGTAATTTGACACATGCATGTACACGCAAGAAAACCATTTTTGCTTTCTGTTTCACTTAATGATTCCTGGATTGAGATTAACATTCGATCTTCTTTAATCTCTAAGTGCCTCGCGATAAACCCATCTAGATGTTCATAGTATTAGTCTTGTATTTGGATCTTGTTACGAGATTCATCTCTCAGCCATTTTCTGTATGTCAGTTCCTAATTTATGCCTTTTATTTTGTCCTTAACATCAAAACTGTTCTTAAAATATGCAGGTCCAAGTGGATTTTGATGACAAAGGTAGCTGGGAGTATCTTTTTAAAGTGTACTGGATATATTTAAAAGAAAAACTCTCTTTAACTATAGATGAGCTCATTCGAGCTAAGAATCCATGGAAAGGAAGTATGGATCATAAGGTGGCTCCTAGTGAGCCTTATGATGGCAGTATTAATAAAAGCCATGGAGCTCATAATTCATATAGAAGCCTAAAATCGCAGAGGAAAAGGCCTAACAGGCAACAAAGCTCTGTGAATAATTTCAGTTACGGAGTTGACAGACCTAGTAGTAGTGAGGGGACACAATTATCTGCAACCACAAAATGGGCAACTAAGGAGCTTATGGACTTTGTTGCACATATGAGAAATGGTGACACACCCAGGCTTTCACCATTTGATGTAGAAGCTTTACTGCTGGAGTATGTGAAGAAAAATAATCTTTGGGATCCTCAACAGCAATGCCAAATTATTTGTGATTGGAGGCTTATCAATCTATTTGGGAAATCTCGTATCAGTACCTTTGAGATGCTAAATCTTCTTGAATCTCACATACACACAAAAGAAACTGCAGCTGATAATGTTAGCACAGGATCTGGTGTAGTGATCGATCCAATTGAAAGCAAAGAGAAGTGTGATTATGATACAGTAGATGAATATGAAAGAAAGCATAAAACTAGCAAGAAGGCTGATGAGAGTGGGCAGCCATTAAATGCAGATGAATATGCAGCAATTGATGTTCAGAACATTAACTTGATCTACATGCGACGTGATTTGATAGTGAGCCTAATTGATGATGATAAAAAATTTAATGATATGGTTGTAGGCTCAATTGTGAGAATACAGATTCCAAATAATGATGAAAAGCATGAATTTCACAGGCTTGTCCAAGTTGTAGGTATTAATATCGAATATTAATGCCTCATAACGAAATTGAATTATTATTTCTTACTCTCCTTCGTAACATTTTGCTGATGTTAGCAGGCATAAGCAAAATTTCTACACCATACACAGTCGGTGAGAAAACAATTGATGTGATGCTTGATGTATTGAACTTGGACAAAATAGAGACTGTGTCCATTGATAGGATTTCTAACCAAGAATTTACTGAGGTTAGTAAATTTACCCTGTTAATTGTTGTTTCTTATTTTCATCGGTCTTTTAAAACCCCATGGCTAGTTTGAAATTAGATGACTGAGTTTACAACGATGGTTCTATATATATTAATATTATGCAACTTAGATACAATTCTTATTCTTAAATCTGTAATTGTCTTAGTTGTCATTGGAAGTGGGCCCTCATCTGTTATAAATTACATGTAAAGCTGAATGATTTCTCTTTGGAGTTCCCACTGGCTGGTTTTTTTGTAGATTTATATCCGTCCGTTTTGAAGGTTTCAAGAGCATCCTTCATCTTACGGTCATACAGTTTTGCTTCTAGTATAGGCCATTTCAAGTAGATAATGTTGCTACACCTTCTAAGTTGGACCCTTGCTTCATTCTCGGATTTTACATCTTGTTTTTGAAATATAATTACTTGGCAGGAAAAGCCCATGGCTAGTATTTTCACATGTTTGGTCTCAAATATTGTCTTCTCATTTTATTTCCGAAAAGAAAGTCCAAGTTATCATATCTTTTGGAGACTGAATGGGATTCAGATTAAGAAACTAAACAAACAAAGTGAACTTCATTAATGGGTTAGAAGACTTTTTTTTTATTTTTATGTCTACATGCTTATAGCTCAAAAGAAGGCAAAAAGGGAAAAGAGGCCAAATTTTGTAATCATTGTTTTGAGATACTTTCTCGCTATAGTCATCCCCCAAATGTTTGTGTATCATCTTTGACTTCTCTAGTTCTAAGTAGTGTTATTGTTGCTGGTGATCATCTATTTGACATGATGTGATAATGTGATGGACATGATTGTCATGTTGTATTATTTTTTTTTTAAAAAAATATGTGCATGCATTTTACGCTTCTTGTGGTGGTATTTGATGTATTAGTATATGTACTCAGGAAGAATGTAGGCGTTTACGCCGGAGCATAAAGTGTGGACTTGTAAAACGATTCAGTATTGTAAGATTTTATTATCCATACCTCTTTATATATTTCAGCCTGTTTAGCTGTCGTGAATTTACCTTTTTTATAGAGATCGAGTTGCCAATAGGTTTGTTTTTTTTACTGCAGGGTGAAATTCTGGACAAAGGACGGGAACTTCATGCATTGAAGATTAATGATGTGAGTTCAACCCCGCCTTTTCCAATTATGAGGTCTAATTACGCAGTGTTTTTTCCCCTTTCCCCTTTCCTCTTTTTTTTTTTTTTTTTTTTTTTTTTTATATATATATTNTTTTTTTTTTTTTTTTTTTTGGGGGGGGGGGGGCTAGAGAAGTTAGGGCAGTTTGGCATGTTGAAGTATCAGCTTTCAGGTCATAGCTCTTTTTTAGTTTATTTAAAACCTAAAATTGACTCCGCCCTTAAACAAATAGTATAATTAATATAAATCTTTTTCTTTGGTAAAACAGCTTATTACTTTACTCATAGAAGTCTGTATCAGCAAGTGCAAGATTGTTACAAAGATTAACAAAAAAAGGAAATTTTATTGGGAAAAAAAAAAAAAAATCCCCATCATTGCAGTCAGAAAAAAAATCAGAATCTGAAGACTATTCTCGAACCAATAATAAGTGAGAATTTAACCGTCTCCATTCCAAGGTGTATCAAATCTATCTTGAAGATTTATATGAGCTGCGTCAGTATCTTACGTGCTAAGATGTTGTAGTAGTGAAAGTAGTTTAATTATAATCAGATCTTTAATGAACATAATTTTACATGCTTTCCATTATATATAGATTAATTCTTCTAAATTTATGAGATGGTTCTAATGTTATTTAAAATGAAAAATCTGTTAATTAATTTTTTTAGGTTAGATTACCGTTTTGTCCTTGTACTTGAGGTTCATTCTAACTCTTTCAAATGTCCAAATTTAGTCTTTCTGCTCCTAATAAATCTTATAGTTGTTCCTCGTAGTTAGTTTGAAGATGATTTTTATCTAAATTTGAAAAATACTAATTATGATTTCCATGGCCAAAATAATAATAATTTTCATTCAAGGATAAAAAATGCGTGAACATGTTTCTAAAGTTTACAAGGAAAATTGATAGAGATTTTTTTAGAAAAGTTAACTCTAAACTATGGATAGAGACTAATTTTAAGGTTTATTGGAAGTATGGATTTTAAATGAGGACATTTGAAAATACAAGTAGTAAAATTGAATAAGTCTTGTGAGCAAAATGGAGTCCCCCCCTGAAATAGTAAATGAATCTTATGGAAATAGAAGAATAATTTAAGAAATTCTCTTATTGTTTCATTGTTATTTTTCATTATTGAAAATATGGGAACTATTTATAATACAGTGAATTAAGGCACATGCAATGCTTTTTTTTTTTGAAGTTTCCAAATGTCTTTCCAGGAGAGGACAAAACCATATGATGTTGTAGAATGTAGATTTCTATTATATTTAAGACGCTTAAGGACTTTATATGCCTTTTTAAGCCAACCTGGTGGTTTGAATTTTCTCCATAACATATATTATATAGATTGAATTAAAATATTTATTTTAGAGAAATTAATGTGGTGATGAACTCTTCTTTTTATTTAACAATTCTCATGTTGCCAAAAGAAGTGTTTTTTTTTTGTGTCGTTCTTTCTTTAGGGCGTAGCTGTGAGTTGACATCACTAAATGGTTGATTATTGACCTAGACAATGTTGCAAATAATAATTTGATAATCGTATGTTATTTGATGTGCTTGGTTTGGCTTTCTGTTTTATGTTTTGTCCAGATGCTCAAAAAAGAGATCACTCAACTCGATCACCTCCACGATGAAGCTAGTAAGAAGGGCAATATGGATGAATATCCTTTTATGAAAGATTGTTCTGAACTCACTCTTTGAGTTGCTTTAATGCTGTCATGCTTATCAATATTGCTGAATAGCATTTGTGGACTACTTCTATTTCAACATGATATCTTCTTTCATTTCCTCCCTTCCTTTGCATTTATTTTGTTACATGAATATTGAGTGGTTGATTATTGACTACCCTATAGAAGTTCTGTATTGAATAGCGGTGCGCAAGCTGGAGGATCTTTTTAATTTTACTTTTATGCCTTTATTTTAAATTTAAGTTCTACTAGACCTTTTCAAATAACAAGTTATCTGGACACCCGGTTTTGTTAACCACACCAGACAGCAGTGCATTGATAATATGGTGTTTTCTCTACACCCATACACGAGTGCTGCAAGATCCTTTGGTGTGTGAAGTTGGATTTTCTCCATGTTATGCACATGTCCTTTGGTTGGACTTTATTTGTAGAAGATTTTTAGTTTCTAGTCTGTTTATATTTTAAAGTGCTTGATCTTTTGTGGTATTCCTTGACTCTGCCAAACATTAAGAGATTTTGTGGAGAGGTTACATCGTCTCAAGTCACCTGAAGAACATCAGCGTAGGCTTCTAAAAATTCTTGAAGTACGTTCAGATCCAACTATGAATCCAAGTTATGATGAGGTTGAAGAAGATAAGGACAAATCGAACAAGAAAAGACAAGGTCTGTCAACTATCTTATGTTGTGGAATTATTTTTAAGTTTTTCCTCAAGGAAGTATTCTGTAAATTTATCCGTGTGTTTGCAGGGAGCCTCAAGAGATCTAGAAATTGTGACCTTGATGAAAGAGAGGGGGAGCTTACCTCACCACGAAGAGTAACCAATTCAAATGTTAGTGGAAGTGATGTACAGAAAAATTCAACTAGTACTTCAGAGCAAAGTAGGAATATTAGCTTACCAGCTAATGTAAATAAAGAAGGCAACTGCTTGGGCAGTGACAGGACTTTTGAAACAACATGGGCAGGAAGAGGTCTTTTATCACATAATTGGAATGTAACTAACCAGGTTAAAACTTCCTCCCCTTTGACCTCTGATGGGCATTGCCAAGTGGTCTTACCTGAAGCCTCAGTTCCACCACTTTCTATTGGGATAGGAAGTGTTTCTAATGATGCAGAAGTGGAAAGGATATGGCAATACCGGGATCCGACTGGAAAAATTCAGGGTCCATTTTCTATGACGCATTTACGTCATTGGAGTAATAGTGGACACCTCACTCCTGATCTTAGAGTATGGAGGACAACTGAATCGCATAAGGACTCTGTACTGTTGACTAACGCATTGAATGGACGTTACAACAAATCATCTTCTACATGGCACATCGGTCTTCTGAGCTTAGGGAGAGGAAATGGACCTACTTTGGGCGGTTCTGATAATCATCATAGTGGCCAAAGGAATGGAGGTACAAATTCTGATATGAAATCTTTTCAGTTTGACATGGGTTTTATCAGGAATAGTAACTCTGAGCGGAAAGATCATGTTACAGTATGTGATGCTGAAACTGAGCCCATGATGAGCACTGGTTCAAGTTCACCTTCTAAAGATTTGTGTGCACCTGCAGATACTGTCAACTCTAATCAGTCTTCGGCTGGGAACCTTGAGGTAGCACACGACCCACTGAAGAACAATAATTCGTGGTCCTACCCTTCCCTTATGAATTTACTTTCATCGGCTACATTATCCTTACAACCACCAGTGGCAGAAGTCCATCAGGCCAAGGAAAATCACAGTCCCAATAGTGAGGATCAGAATTCACAGACAATTACTTTGGGAGGAGTTCATAGTCAGCCTAGTCGCAAGAAACAGTCTAGTAGTGAGGATTGTTCTAGTCAATCTTCTGGACAAAACTGGATCACTCCACCTGCCGATGCTTCCTCTCGTGAATGGAACTCTAATTGTAGTGGTCTATCTTTGATGAATTCACTCAAGCCATCAGAGAAAATCCGAGAAGCTTTACCTGTTATTCCAAATTCCACCCTGAAACCAACGAGTGGAGATGTTGATATTAAACAATCTGTATCTTCAAGTGTTCTTGTCCAGGATTCTGGCCCTAGCTGGTGTAGTGCCTCAAGTTTTCTGGGTGGACGACAACTTCCTAGTCATCTAGCAGGTGGATGGGGTGGGTATTCGGCTGCACCAGGTAGACCTATTGAGGACTTGAACTCCAGTCTCATAACTGCATCTGGTCTGAAATCATCTGATGTAATGGATGATCATGATACAACCGTGGCTACGATAAACTGGGAGGCAATTGTTGATGAGCCCAATGACTTTAATTCCTTGGTTGATGAATCTGTCTCAGATTTGTTAGCAGAAGTCGAAGCCATGGAATGCTTGAGTGGTTTGGCTTCCACAGCATCAATGGTGAATTGTAGCGAGGAATTAACTCGGGGTTCTAGAAGTGATTGTTTTTTCTCTGTGGATGGATTCAGTCCAGCCGCTGAGATGAAGGTAGATGCATTAAGCTCCACAGCCAATTTGCAGTTTCCATTTCACATTAGAGTGAAAGATGAGCAACCTTGAACTGCAGAAACCATGACGATTCTTTTACTGGTACTCAAGTTGAGGGATCAGAATCCTTGTAAAATATCAACGTACCAATCTGAAACTCTTTCTGACAAACAAAACCGACGGGAATTTCCCCATAACTTCGGCTAATACAGGAATACTGTGGGAATAAGATCAGCACTGCAAAATGGCTTTAGAAAGGATTACAAGTCAAAAAAGCACAACAGACATTTCTGCAACCGATCCTGGAGTGGCCAAATGAGCTATTGTTTTAACACATCGTCTAGTTCGAGACATCAAAATTCAGTGTAGTTGTACATCTCCCTGAACAGACAGCCACCATTCAGATGGTGTACTTTCCGACCGCCACCCAAAGGGCAGCGGAGTCTGTAGATATATATATTACGGAGGAAATAGTAATATGCAATAGAGGAGCTCCGTGCTTTTGTTTTTGTTTTTGTTTTCCTTTTTTGCCTCTGTAGTTGATAGTTCCATTGCAATACACTTCCACATTTGGTTTTACATTCATTGTTGGAACCCGGAAAGTCTGCTTGTTAACATTGTTGTAATTTTAACTCGAAACCTGCCCAATTAGAGGTCCTGTGGAATAATATGCATATCAATAATACCTGATTGTTTTAGAGACTTCACATCTTCGGGGGATTTATCTGGATCCTTGTTTTGATTTTTGCATATTGGTTGGTTCTGATTTGATCTTTGCATATTGGTTTGTTCAAACCTTAATTGAAAATTATTTGCTCGTTTGACAATATGGTCAGGTGGAGTTTGAACATCTGACGTTCCAGTACACACTCGTTTCACGCAGGTTTTAGTTTCTCAGGTAATTATATATTTATGGATGTTGGAAACCCTTCAACTTTGCGAACACTGGTTAGAGCTGTCGAACTCCTACTTTCTGGATAATCAAATGTTTATTGCTGCATTTTTTGTATGCAGGATGGGAAATTGAAGGATTAATTTGAACAATTTCTTTCATGCTTAAATCTACTTCTCTTTAATTCCATCTCATGCATTTTATTTCTAGGATAAGAGTGTTTTTAATAACCAAATTTGTTTAGTTAATCACACACATACATACATATCCATTGAATTTAACCTTGGCAACAAGAGATTTAACAACATTCCCAGATTGAAACTAATATATGGAATTATTAATCTGATTTGTTTTTGAGGTCACTTCACCTTTTGATCGATTTTGATGGGAGTTGATTTCTATCCTATTTCCCTATTCATCTCTTTAAATTTTAGTTTTATTATTATTATATATTTACTTTGAGTGACCCTATTATTAGACTCGAAAAAATACATACACGTGCAGACATGACAATCACGACTATAGTGGGGCCTACAACTTGGCCTCGAATTCTAGTTCTTTTATTATGTTTCAGACGTACATCACTTTCATTCACATAGTTTCATGTGCATCACTTTCATACACAAATAACCCATAAAGCGAGTATCACCTTCAAACTTCTTTGGTCTTGTTGTATACGTAGTCATATAACTTTTATCTACACTAACCCTACATGCATCACTTTCATGCTTGTAGAAACCCCAAAAGAGCATAGAACTAACAGATAGTTTACGACGGCAATGAATCACACACATGCATGAGGGCTCACAAATAGAAATCATTAGTTTTATACATGATGGCACAGAAAATATATTCTGGGCATAAAAAAAATTTCGTCAATTACATGACTAACCTACATAGGCCAATCAAAATCACGATTTTGTTTAAAAAAAACTCATACCTAACAAACGTGAAACAATCATCTAACCAAGCATACATAGGTCTAATTTTGAATTCAACCATCACCATTGTTTTCTTATATGACTACACGTATCTAACGATTGATGCACTAGGTTTAAGATATAGTTTTTATAATACTTGTTATCACAACATGACATCTACCGTTATTTTACTTTTAACGATTTTTACTTAAAAAGTATGGTACAAACATAGATGTCATCCTATCACTTTATATCTTTATATAATTATCATTAAGATTAAGATTGATGAGGAATAATCTTCATTTAAAAAAATAAGAAATTTGTTTACAATTATCGTTTCTTTAATTTTTTTTTAAGGATGAACAAGTGAGTTAAAGAATTGAGAATTAAAAAGGCTTTAAAAAGTAGTCAAAATCTGCATGCTTTTTGATGTTTGAATGTTAATAGAGAATATAATTTGAGAATCTCGTTTTAAAGTAAATGCTCCTAACACACAGATTCGCATTAAGATGTTCAATCTATCCTAATCCAATCGCTATGCCAAAATCTCTTAAATTTAATTTTCAGACAAAAAAAAGAAACGAATTGATCTGACTAAAAACGACGAATCAAAATTAAGATTTTTTTTTTCTTTTTTGGTAATAAAATCGACAAATCAAATAAGAACGGAAATTCAATTTTCCATGCCATAGTGAGAAGAAACTTTGATTCTTTGAACCGTCCGTGTTTTTAGTTCATCGGAGAAGGTAGCTTCAGAAATTTGAGGCGTTTTTTTGCTTCCAATTCCAAGGATTTTGAGCGGACCCTCAAAGTTCTTTGTTTGCTCGCGAAGAAACCGGGAAAGTTCCACGCTGTTGCTCGTCTTTGACTACTGGTGGCTGGGATCATCTTCATTTTCATTTTCATCGGTTCCCTTCAATACAAAAAGGTCTTTCTCGCTCCCAAATTTTTGTTCATTCGTTTTCAACTTTGAAGACCTTGCTTCTTGCGTCGATCTTCCATCTTACACAGGTCGGTTTCATGGCTACGTTTCTTCAGAAATGGCCTATTCTTTCTTCCTTCTATTTTTTTTTTATTTTTTATTTTAAATTCCTGGGCAGTTGATTTCGGCGTGAAATTGATGTGGGTTGATGATTTATACGATAGTTTTACTGGGTATTTTGAATTTTATTGGTTTTTTGCATCTTCTTCCGCGCGAAATGGAGGGTGGGATTGTGTGTAATGAATGTTGATCTTTTTTTCAATCAAAATTTCTTAAGTAAGATGGAATTGCTTCGTCAATCGAGTTTTGCTAAAATTGTTCGCAATGTTGCCACAGAATCGAATGGCCGCTGGTGCGGCTGGTAAACGGGTGGGGCAATTGGTAGCCAATTCAGCTTTTCGAAGTTTGGGAGCTTCGAAGGTGTCTTCGTTCGAAAGCGCAATCTCCGACCATTCTGCAAATAATTTATCGGCATCCATCTCTTTGATTTCTCGGTACAGACACTGTGAATTTAGGCAGATCTCTCACCTTTCAAAATCCAACGGAAAGCGTTTATTTCTAGTCGACACGTTAGCCCTAGTAATTTTGCTCTCTTTGTTCTTCCCCACCCCCAGCTCTTGTTACATCTTTGTTTTGGTTCTTATAAATTGCTTGCGTTGTAAAAGATTTGGAATCACTTGTATTTTTCTTCATATGATTCCCCTGAGGATATATGATATCTGAATGAAGATGGAGTGAGAATTTGAGAATCTCTGTGTTGTTCTCACAAGGGTTGTTGGAAAGTGATATGATGCATTTCTTCCAGGTTAGGAAATTGGAGGGTCAAGGGGTGCCCTCAAATCAAGCTGAAGCAATAACAGATGCCATTACCGAAGTGTTAAATGATAGCTTGGAAAATGTATCTCATTCATTTGTTTCAAAGGGGGAGATGCAGAAAGTGAGTTTCTAAGTACTCAATGTTTACATGTCTTGAATTCAGCTAATGTTATCATTGTACAATGATGGCAACAAGAGGAGGTTCTTGATGAAATGAGCATCTATAACATTTGTCATTCTACCATTTTTTGTTTTGTTTATAACCTACTAACCTTTCATTGGATGTCATGTTATGTTTGTAGATTGAAATGATCCAGGAGGCCAATTTGTCGAAATTCAAATCTGAAGTTCAAAGCTCACAGGTATTTACTAGTATTATTTATTTTATTTCTGTATTTCTTATACACAAATAGGTTTCATGATTCGCTGTTAAATATAATATAAGAGATATTTGAATTTCATATTCTCGCTGTATTTTGATTGATTATAGTCTTTTAGCATTGTTCTTTGTTATTGGCTTGCTGTTGTACTATCCTTATTTAGTTCCCTAGTCTGCTTAGATGATAGTGTCTATTTTTAATACTGTTTAATTTGTTAGGATTAGCAACAAAATAAGGGGAAAACCTTGAATTGAAAATGTCTTATTGATATATTGTACTAGTATTTAGTTTCCATTGTTGTCTTGCATATCTTATGATATTGTTCCAGTTCTCGAATAAAATAGAAAAATTCTAGAGTGGCGTGATGATCTGCTCCTAATTTCCTGTTCTTGCAATATGTTACATAATTAAAGCTTGATCAGGGCTTCAACTACCATGAGTTGGTTGGACAAACCTTGTACTTGTATGTTTTTTAGGTTATGGGATCAATTCGTAGTGTCATTCTATTCGAGATGCCAAATAGCTTACAAGTTTCTGGAATTTGACCAAATGTGGTATTTTGGATAGCATGTAGATGGGTGGGGTGGGAACTTTATACAGGTTGAATAACTGAACTTGAAAGTATAATACTTATTGCACTTGGATTTTCCAAACTATTTTGGTGTTTGCACTGCTAGTTAATGTAATATTTTTGTATACCATGGACATGGAGCTCCCATATGTTACTGGAAGGATTCTAAGAGATCTGACTTTAGAGTCGATGTACAACTTCGTTGTTGAGTATAATCGGGTCTAGGTTAAGGCTAAGATCTGCCCACTCTATAGCCTCTGCATCCTTCAAGCTCCTCCCAAGTCTAAGATCACAAAGTCTGTTGGTGGTGCTCCAAACATCTTTTAACGGTGGCATCTTTATAATGAAAAAGCTTGAAGAGGTGGGGGTGATGCGAAGCCAAGGATCGGGCTTCATTACCAACTTGGTGACACATGTTGATAGTCTTCTTTCTATTGAATTCTAGAAACGCCAGCGAGAGGAATCCCCATATAAGAATTCAATCATTCACCCATTTTACAACCATACTTCTTAGCTTCGTCCTCAATAATTGGGGGATCAACATTAATACCAATAATCTCTGATTTATGAAGATTAATGTGGTGTCTGGAAGCCTGTTTGAAACCCAACTCCCTCGAGGAGGTATTGAAATGATCTCTTATCTTCGGACTCAGAAAATGGAATGGTGTCATCAACAAATGAGATATGTTTGATTCTTAAATTACCTTGGGCAACCCAAAGGCCTTTGATATGACCCTCGCATTTGAGTTCGAATAGCAAACTGCTAAAGTTGCCCATAATCATAATGAAAAGGAAGGGAGATAATGGACCCCCTTGTCTTAGGGCCCCAAGTTGCTAGAATTTTACCATGAGGACGGCCATTGATGAGAATTGAGAAATCAGTAGAGGAGATGCATCCTTCAATCCAAATTCTCCACTTAAGACCGAAGCCTTTGGAAGCAAGGATATTATCAAGAAAATCCCAATCCGCCTTATCAAAACCCTCTTCTTTCTTTGCCATTCGTCAATAAGTTCATCGGCCTGGAGATGCATTAAGGATTTGTCTTTGTCATCCCTCAGCAAATGTTGTTTGATACTCTAATGGTGAGAGGAAAGGCCTTTTTGAGACTTTCTGAAAGGACCTGGGTGATGATTTTATAGAGGCAAGTGGTGAGGCCAATAGGGTGAAAGCCAGCCACAGTTCTAACATAGAGTTTCTTTGGAATAAAACAAATTTAAGTCTCAAAATTTTATTTGTTAAGGAAATCTTATAGTTCACAAAGTTGGTTTGTTAGTTTATGTTTTCTGACCATTGGATTAACACATGCAATGTAGGGGAACCATTTTTCGTTATTGGGACACGAGACTGAAAAACTCCGAAATGATATTGACAAGATGCGCAATGAGTTGAGGTTTGTTTTAGCGTACCTCAGTTTATATGAAATGTATACTGAGTTCATATTTTAGACATTAGCTCTTGAATTGGTCTCATTTGTGAAGGACCTGTGATCATGGTGCAGGTATGAAATCGACAAAGTCACAGCTGGACAGCGATTGGATTTGAATCTTGAGAGAGGGTAAGTGAACTTTTTGTGTAAGAAGAAGCAGGAGAGTGTGTTGGTTGGGGAATCAATTTTGGTTACACGTTTTTGTTGTTCACAAGTGCAGGAGGATACGGGATGAGCTAGCTAATCAGAATGCTGAAACAAACAACCTAACTAATAAACTTGATCGGGTAAGACCAACTACGTGAAAGATTGAGAGGTTGGAATGCTTTGTGTTTATTAAGAAACTCTAGTGTGCGAGTAATTTGTAATCTTGTTTGCTAAAAAAATTGCAGGAAATTCATGCTCTGAGAGCACAAGTGGAAGCTGCGAAATACGATGTAATAAAATACTGCATCGGTACCCTTGTTTCCATATCTGCTGTGGGTCTGGCTGTGATCCGCATCTTGATGTGAACAACAAGGTGATGCTCATGAAGATCTTACAGGGATTTATCAGGACCATTTATTTATATTCTTAGAATTCCTTCAACAACATGACATTGTTTCTATTTTTTCTTTCTTTCTTTAAGCTTCTTCAAGCTCCTTCGTACATGTCAATTACCACTCGGTCGATGATAAACATTCTTCCGATGTTCAAGATTTTCTTGTGCATATTTTTCACACTCCCAATCCCAAGCAGATGGATAATGAGACCAACATTTAATTAAGGGCATTAACTTTGACATATTAAATTTGAAATTTGGAAGGAAAAAAATTACAAGACTTTATATCAAATTTAAAACTCCCTCTCCATTTAAGGAAAAATAGATCCGTTGGGCGAGAGTTAACACGTGGACGGCAGTGATTTTGACATAGCCCATCCCACGTGCCCTATAAAACTCATCTGTCAGAATCTCAGAAACAAACAAAATCCCATTCCCCATTCACTTATTTGATAGACCCTCGTCGTCATGCCAACTTCGAATCATTTCCCAATTAATCAATGGAAGAAACAAAAAGCCATTGCTAAGCGAAGCTCACCTAAAACAACAAACTACTCATCTTATGAACATAATTCTATTCCCTTCCCAAAAAACAGAGCTTTTTTATTTTTTTATGGGATCATCGGGCCGGCGCTCCGGCCCTCGGCGGTGGATTTTTGCTCGCCGCCTTCACAGAAGAAGAAGAATGTTGGGCAACCAAATAGGCAGTTCCCACCGAGTCGGACGGTGGCGGAGTCGGGTTTCATCCGCCGCAAGGGCTCTGGGATTGGCCCGAACACAAGTAGTTTCCGCCCAACAACAACAGCCTCTCGAGCGGCGAGATGCCGGGATTTGGCGCGGCGGTTTTGAACGCGTAGATAACCGGAATCATTCCGGTGATAAAGCAGAGAGCTTCGGCATAAACGCCAGGAACGGCGGTAGAAACCCAGTAATTTCGTTGTCGTTCAAATCGACGGCGATAAGCCCACTCCGAGAGCCGCTGGAATCAGGGGTTTCCATGGCGGAGAATCGATTGAAAGAGAGCGTAAGTTGCTCCAAAGAAGGATGTTCAAACAGAGCCGCCGGAACAGAGCCACCTAATTGGTTGTGACTCAGATCCACAACTTGAAGATTAACCAATTTCCCAACACTACCGGGAATCGCCCCTTCAAAGCTGTTATTCCTCATGGACAATTGAACCAACGACGCCGGAAAAACCGACGGAAGTTCNCCGGAAAACCTATTATCACTACCATCTAAATAGTACAAATTCTTCAAACCCAACAAATCGGGAAACGCACCCGTGAAAACCGTTCGACTGCAGTTCCAACCGCTTCAAACTAACAAGCCCCACAAAACTCGCCGGAACAGAACCATTAAACTCATTCCCATTTAAATACAGCTCCTCAAGAGCAGAGAGTGAGCCGATCGACGTCGGAACCTCGCCGGAAAACGAGTTAGCAGAGAGACTCAGTAAGCGCATCCGAGTGAAATTGGAGGAGGAGGAGGCAGGAATGGGACCCGAAAAGAAATTGTTGGACAAATCAAGAGTTTTCAAGTAAGGAAGGTTCCTGAAAACAGAGGAAATGGTATCGCACCGGAAACCGCAAGTGAATTTCTGGCCGAAGAGATTATCACAAGGATCAACAGAAAAATCCGAAGAATGTACACAGGAAGCAGAGGAGATGGAACTAGGGTCCAAAGCGTTCTTCAGCTGTTTCAGAACTTGGGTGTCTTCCCAGTGGGTCTTAGATTGTACGGAAAGGAGGGCCGCCACAAAAAGGGGAAAGAGAGCAAGATTGTGAGTACCCTTTTTAGAGGGCGTTCTTAGTTTATCAGATCATTTGAAGCTGAAGTTCATCAGATTATTTCGCCAATTTGTTGGAGCCCATTTAAGTTGGGCTTATGCAAAATCTCCACATCCATTCTGTTTGGAGCTTTTGTGAGCACCTACACTTTGGGCTCAAAAACTTGCTTTTTAAGTTGGGCAAATTGAGACTAAATGCTAGCTTACTTCTTAGGCCCATTATACTTGGCCCATTCTATAATTTGTAGATGATATTCTCTAATATTAGTCCACCCCAATATCAAAGAGGCTCCTCCGTGTTCTAGAAGACCCAAGGAAAAATAAATAAATAAATGGTCTCTTTTTTTTTTTTTTTACTGGCCATCTTTATCTTTCTCACGTCACGTGCTCATCAAATAATGTTGGTCTACCTTGGAATTAAATAATGTATTGAATTTGGACCTATAAATCATGCCATACGTCAGCATGTAGTGTAATACACTTGATTAATAAAAAAATAAGCATTAAAAGTATTGAATATAGAGCCTCAATAGTACATTTGTCCTTGGAGTTAGAGCTGGTAATTGTCACAATCCCACCTAGATTAAACACCAAATCAAAAATCAAGGCGTAATTCAAGGCTTAAAACCTTTTTTCTTTTTTAAAAAACAAAATAACTTTTTCTTGGTTTTGTCGTTGGATTTGAATGGAACAGGCTTATGGGTGGGGGAAGATTTTGAGACATACACGATTTTTCAGAAACAAAGGATAAAAAATATATACCAAATTTAAATGCAAATTACTCCTTAATGTATGCTTTTAAAATTACCAATAAACTTAGATTGAACTATCATACAACGTACCAACGTGTCTATCTTCTATTCCAGCACGTAATTTCAAGGTACCAACGTTAGTGCTTGGCTTACCACAACTGTCACTCTCAAGATTGGAGCAACGTGCAATGTAAATAAATATTATTAACTCATATTTATTAGAATAATAATAATAAAAAAAAAAATGAAACTTTTTGTATGGTGTTTGTGTTAAAAATAAAATAGGAATCTAGATGATGACGACAAAGACGACAACGACCGCAACAAGTTCACATTTTCCCATTTGAAAGCATAAAATGTCTCTATCTATGTTATGTATGCTTCAAAAGTTTAAAGGTTTGGAGATGGGAATCAAAATGGAATTTCAAGTTGTCAGTACATAAGACATAACCCACTATTGCTCACAAGCCCACACAACACACTATTGGGTCCTCTTGTCGGTTGGAACCTATAATTGCACCTAATATTTCTTATTTCATTCGCTAATTTCTTTGTTTTTAAATCTATACATTATTAATTAACTTATTTATGGATAAAATAAATATACGATCCCAAATTTCTTAATCATTTGGATACTTGCAAAGCAACTTTTGGCAAAGATCTACAGCTGATCACCTAAATCTGTAATTTTAATAAATTATATACTACTTTATAAAAAGAATAAAAGAGTTTATTTTTATCATATTTTTCATGTATTAAATAATAATGATATTAAAAAAATAAAAAAAAAAAGTAGTCACATGCATTGACAACTTGATTAAATGTCCCTAATTCATGGGTTGAATTACTTCATTTTATTTTTATTGCCATATGTTACTTCATACAAAAATGTCTCAATCCAAAAGGAATGTGGTTGGGCTAAACATGATGACTATAAAGAAAATTATAATTTTTATTTTTAACATTTATTATGTTCGCAAATGAAAATAATTCTTAAAAGAAAAAAAAAAAGAAAAAAAAGTGGCATTAGATAAAGTAACCCCACTATGAACACTCTGAAACATAATTAGCCTTGTTTTTTTATTTAAAAAAAAGGAAAAAAGGAGAACAAAGCCCAAGGAAAGAGTTTAATATGTATATATAAATATATAAAATAAGGGATTTGGTTAATTGAAATGAGTGCATGAAATCAAAGGGAATCTGAGGTTAATTAAAGTAATTAAAAGATATGATCAATCATAATTGTAACCAATAGCTTTAACCCAAGTTGTGAAGTTGGAAGATGGGGAAACAATGCCTGCCTTTGTCGGTATAAACATGACACCCATTACTTTATAATCTTTAATTAACCATCCTAATTTCCTCTTTTTTCTTTTAAACCCTTCTTAACTAATTCTTAATCACTTTTAAAACAAAAGCTTCCAACGCAGGGAATCTCTCATTCATGCGCCCAATCTCCTTTTCCTTCCCTTTTTTTTTTTTTTTAATTCATTTTAATAATGCCATTATTAACTTAATTCAATGTCCCTCCTACTACCTCATTGCTCTTATCCTTCTAAACCATCTTCAATGCTTACCTTTCGTTGTTAACTAAACTAGAGTTAAATAGAAGTCAACCCAACTCACCTAATTTCTGCCCAATCAACGTATTTTTTTTTTTTTTTATCCAATTTTGAAAATAACAAAACTTTTTAAAAAAAACAGGAGTGAGTAATAAGAAGGTTTGTTGCAAGTGTGAGTTATGAAATTGAAGTCATGAAAAGAAGCGGTGGCGTAGAGGCACTCAACTTATGGACACAAAGGTGGTGGGAATAAACTACTTATGGCGGCTGCCCTTCATTCTTTCTTACTTTCATAGATTGGAGATGTGAAAACGATGGGATTCAAAGTGCTTATCCAACTCGAGCGTTTGGACATCATCAAAAATATCTCGTCTCCCATCAAATTAACCACCTAAATTAAAGCTAAAACTTTTGAGATTGTCATTTGTGTATATCATATATCATATCATGGGTACACGTTCTTACAAAACATATTGAAGAAGTATCTTAGGTTCGTGACATACAACATGTATGAAATTCCACATTTTTAAATCATGGTACATGGTTACGATACACATCATACTTCCATATTTATGATGACATAACCTTTCAATTAGATATACATCCATATGCATGATGTCACTGTCATACTTTTTCGACTGTGCAGCACTATGTTATTATTGACATGCTCATGACCAACTTTGAGAGAAACCCAAGTCCCATGTATATTTTTCACTCAGGTTTGTAGCTTCAATCGGCTTTAGGCGAGATTCGTCTTCATCAACCAAACATCACTTGTGTGGAATTCAAGCTTATTCGATCACACATGTTGTCTACACGTGCATGTTCAATCATCTGCAACATAGTCGACTTACCCGTGCAATTTAAGATAAATGGAAAAGGGCTATTGGTGATGGGCTTTTTAGACATTGGTTATGGTGGAGACAAATTGAGGCAATGAGAAATGTTTTTTTTTTTTTTTAGGGAAGCTTATAATTTAAAAGAGAGGAAGCTTACAATTTAAGGGAAGTGGGGAGGGGAAAGGGAAAGGAACGGTGTGGTCCATAAGAATCCATGGGCATTAGGGGAGTGACACGACTACATTATGGTTGGAGTTGTGACAGTGAGACACCCTTTGGGTTTGAGTTGCTCCCATGTGCACTTCCCTCTACGTGGAACCTGTCTCCATCACACACCCTTTTTCTTTTCATCTCCCTCTCTCTCTCATCAGACAAGCTTTCTAATCCAAGTCACCTCTCGTCTTCTCTGCTTTTTCTCTCTCTCTCTCTCTCTCTCTCAAGGCTCCATTGTTGAATGCTTTGTCACCTTCTGCCAACACTAATCCAATCAGTCCCCTTAATTTCTTTCAAACTCTCCACATCCCATAACCTCATTCATACCCATTTTGATCAAAGTTTGTGATCTGAGGCATCCCATCCCAATTTGGGTTCGTAGAATGACAAACAATTTCATTTTGGTGCTGCTTAAATAAATCCCTTTTACTTTTTACTTTTACTTTTACTTTGTGTTTTACTTTTTTTACAAACTGAGGTGATTCCTGAAAGACATGAATGAAGGAAAGAAAGTGGGAGTGCTTTTTGAGAAAGGTAAGGGGGTAAGGTTAGTCCAATGCCATGAATCTTCCCATGAAAGTTGGTCAATACGAATACTGCCACGTGGTGGTAGCTCCCAAAATTGGGAGTCCCATTTTCTTGTTAATGCCCATTTCGAAAAAAGCCCAACTCAACTCCAAGCGCCATTCATTCAATTCAGTAACTTTGAAGAAGCACTATGAATGCATGGGTTTGGCAGAGCCCCAAAAAGTAAAAAGCTTTCACATATATGTGTAATGGGGATCCATTTTTCCCCTTTCAAAAAAATAAAGGAAGAGGGGGTTTGCTAGCTCAACCGTGTACGATATTACAGCTTTACAAGGTAACATTTTGAAGAAAAGAGAATGGAAGGACCATACATTTCCACCTCCATCTGTCCCCCATAATTACATGTACTACAACCCTCTTTTTTCATTCTTTTATCTTCTTTCAAAAAAATTAATGGATAGGATTCAATCCGAATGTGTACAATTTGAGTTCTTAAATACTTTCCAGTTAAAATAAGTTTTAAATAAAAAAGAAGCATAAATATTGGTGACACACCCAAACTGGGATGGTGGGCGCAAGGCAGAACACATATAAAGAAAAGAAAAAGGTAAAAATGTAGGGCACACACAAACTGTTTGTTGAAATGTCCCAAAAGGAAGAACAGTGGAAGCTTGTGTTTAGGCCTCATCTCGAGCCACCCCACGGCATGGCAAGGCATGGCCTATGCATTTTGGCGTTTATGTTGTGGTTGTTGGTGTCAACTTAAAATCCCCCAGAACTTCCCCAATTGCCCCTTGCATAGCCTTATAATTGTAGCATGCCCTCCCTGTTTTAAGGCTACAGCTATACACCTAATGCAAATCCAATACAATATAATATACCACCCATTTGGACAGCAAAATAAAAAATAAAATAAAAAAAGAAGGAAAAATATTTGGGAAGTTGGGGGACTCCGTGTTGTTGGTCCAAATCAGGAGGGTACATTTGGAACTGTACAAATATGTTATTTTATTTTTTTTATTTTTTTTAATTTCCTCTCTCTCACATCCCCTCGGTCTCAGGTGTTGGGATCCCAGCCCACTTCTTTATTTTATTTATTTATTTATTTCCACAATATATTATAGTGCCAAATTTTGTGTGTGGGTGGGCTTTAGTTGGTGGCATGGCAGCCTTTTGTACCACTATACCCCCACCTTTCTTTTCTAATTACCCCAATCCCAATATTCACTCTCTTTTCCATTTAATTCAAACTCTTAATCTTTTAGCGGACTATAAATATTTTTATTATTTATGTTTAACAAATATGTGTCTATAATCTAAGAGACGTGGAATGTTTTATCTACCATTATGAAGTATTAAAATGATTTTTTTTTATTGGTATTAAAAGAAATTGATGAAGATATGGTATATCAAGTACACCACAAAAATTATCCACAAGAAATATTTAAGTCAAGTCAATCAAGTCATTTTACCGTACCAAAATAATGGTTTCCAAATGTCTATTATAAAAAAATGATTTCGCGTGGATAATAACTTTTTGTATACCTTGCTTAGAATTTAATTTGATGTGAAAGTTGAATGAAATATGATTTTTTAGTTGAAAAATTTGTATGATGTATATGCGCTTGATTAGCGATTATGAAACATTTTAGTTATAAATTTGAATGTTACGTTGTTTCATGAGTATTACGAAAAAGAATACTACATCCACACCTCTTATCCGAGAAAGCTATGAAAGTGGAAAAAGAAAGACAAAATTAAAGCAATTTTTGTCTTTTCGTTTTAATTTCTTAATGGATGAGAGGCAGGCGTAGGACGAAAGACATGGACGTGAGTACATTAGAGGCTTTCATTTCCAAAGTTTGTAAAAAAAAAAACCAAAAAAGACTTATGATACAAAATGACTGAAACACCCTCTTGCCACGTAACACAAAGGACGACACCACTTTTTTCCTTTGAAAAAATTGACGTGCCGTCTCACTTCTCTCATCCATCCATGAGTAAAGATGTGTGTTTAATGGTAAAACTTGGTTCTATTTCCAATGTAGAGAAGAGTGTAGATAAATTTTTGTTTGTCAATGAAAGGAGATTGAAGACAGAGATTCTATTTATTAGGATGTTTTATTTATTTTTAATAGAAAAATTTAGAAAAGTAAAAATGGTTGAAAACTAGTATTTATGTGTGGATATTATAAAAAATGGCAGAAGCATAATATGATATTGATGGTAGGGAGATTTAGGTAAATTGAGGTTGAAGGGATTAGAAAAGGCAAGAGAGATATGAGTTTGGGTTATAAATAAGGCAGCCAATCTCCCACCTTTAACACAACTAATATTTGATACCAAAAGAACCGCGAGAGAGAGAATGAACCAGCAAGAAAGTGAAGAGCATGAAGCAGTACAAATCTGTGAGTTGTACACTCCATTATACATCCAAATGGTTCCCCAACAACAAGGTTTCTACACTCTTCTTTTAACTTTACCCATTACTCTAATTTTTAATTCATTTTTTGCTTCGATTTTGATTCTCTCTCTCAATGTAACGGATGCTTGGTTTTGGTTACAGATAATAATTTGGGTGAAGCAAAACGGAGACGACGTCGTAAGAAGAACAGAGGATCGGAAGCGGATGCGGTGGCAAAGAAGAGGAAGCTCACAGCCGCGCAGGTTCATCTTTTGGAGACTCATTTTGGGAGTGAACATAAGTTGGAGTCGGAAAGAAAGGACCGTCTAGCGTCCGAGTTGGGGCTCGATCCTCGCCAGGTCGCCGTCTGGTTTCAGAACCGCCGTGCCCGCTGGAAGAACAAGAAACTTGAGGAGGAATATTCTAGCTTGAAGAAGCTTCATGAATCCGTCGTCGTTGAGAAATGCCGTCTTGAAACTCAGGTCCATTTTCATCCTTTCTCTCTCTCTCTCTCTCGTGCTGGTTTTCGTCTTTCCAAACACAACCAAACATTTTCTATTATTATTTTATAATTCAATATAATAATAATTATATTTTAAAAAAATAATTTTAAAGTTAGTTAATAAGACATTTATTATTTTTCAAAATTTGTAACTGAATAGAGTAAAATCTATGTTGGCTAAATTTTTATATTTAAAAAAAAAAAAAAAAAAAAAAAAAAAAAAAAAAAAAAAAAAAAAAAAAAAAAAAAAAAAAAAAAAAAAAAAAAAAAACAGAGGAATTTGAGAACATCTCCCTCCATCAACCGAAAGGTGTTATTAGAGGAGAAAAAGCTTGGTAACTTTGGGTGATAAAGAGAGGGTGGGACACCATTTATGAACGAACGTGCATGGGCTCTGGGCTCGAAGAAGCCCACGCCACCTTCTTCAAAATATGTTTTTGTTTTTTTTTTCTTTTTACGAAAATAATAAAACTTTCCATGACCCAATTGCCTTACTACAACCATCTCATTCGACAATAAAAGTCCTTTTTAAAAAACAAACAAAAAAACTTAAGTTATAAAAGTAATAAATATAAAGTGTTTCGTACAACGTTGTCCGTGTTTCTATGGGCTTTGGTCGCCCTCACTTCTACATTGCACCAATCAAGACTCAACAACACCCATGGGACTTAGTTTTGTTTGGTTAAGCAAAAAGTAAGGTTAATTTGTTGGTGATGATTTTACAGATACTGAAGCTGAAAGAACAACTTTCAGAAGTGGAGAAAGAAAAGGAGAGGCAGACAATGGGAGAACGGGGAGATGGGCCTTTAAGCAGCAGCAGCCCAAGCCCATCGATGTCAATGGACGCCGTGGACCCCACAGGCCTTGAGGAATTTGGAGCATCATTCGAAGATGTGTTTTATTACATGCCTGAAAACTCTTGCATTTATGGCATGGAATGGCCCAATCCCTATATTTGATATTTATATTTTAGTTTTACCAATAATTCCATCTTAATTTATAAATGTATTATGCCTTTTCTTTTGTATAAAATTTATGAATCTAGTGTAAATCCTAATTTTCCCTTTCATTTTCTGTCTTTCACTATTCTATTAATTAAACTAAAAGAAGTGGGTCTTGTAGGGCCAAAAAAGTAAATAGAAGAAGAAAAAGAGGTGAAAATGGTGATATTTTAGAGAAAGATGCTACAAGTTGAGCATAATAATGCACAACAAAAACAATGGAATATGTATACAAAGTCACTCTTCAATCACAAACATAGTGGAATAAATAGTTGGCCATTACGTCCATCACGTCACCCATCGTAATTATTTATAAGATCAAATAAATGTGGTGTAATAGAATATCCAAAACTTAAAACTATTTTATATATAAACACAAAACATACCAGAATTGATGTAGGAAGGAGTTTTAAATTAAGGGTCTAAATTGATAGAATTATAAATATGTGAATTTGATACAAGAAGATTATGGATGAAAATTGAAAAATTGGAGAACAACTTAGTGGCCATATTCTGGGCCGACAGCTAAGCCCAATAAGAAACAATATCTTAAAAAAAAAAAAAAAAAAAAAAAAAAAAAAAAAAAAAAAAAAAAAAAAAAAAGGAAGAAGTGAATTTTTTAGTATGGAAAATATCCGGAAAGAAAACCGACTATATATTAATATTAATATTAATTGGAGAACGGCGGGATACATACCATTTTATGTACGTCCCTACAGTTAAACCCAAACCCCTAATCCCAATTATCGTAAATTATAATTTTTAATCAATTTTGATACCCTCAATATCTCGGGTAATTAAGCTCTCAACACCTCCACGCCGACGTGGCAACCAGAGGCCTCTCGTGCCAGCACAGCACCAGCTCAGCATGCCGTTTTCCTACTTGGAACCCTTGAACCTGTACTTTTCCAAGTAAGCACTCCGCCTGAAAATCTGCAAACTGGCTCAGCGCCACTGGCCTCATCCCGGCGCCGTGGAATACCTCCCTCCACGGCGGCGCTGCCATTCTCCCTGCTCCTTCCACCGCAGCCAATATCTTCGGCCGGAACACAAACGTCTCTATCCTCCGCACCCAGTCCCCGCCAGCCACCGCTGCGTCCAGCGACTCTAGCATCATGGCGTAGAACTCCAGGCTATCTACCAAATTTCTCTTGAACGACGCCGCGCCGGAGTCCGACCACCCTTCACCGTTAACGAACACGACGACGCAGGGCGACACCCGTCGCACGTCGGAGAGAAAAGACCCTATACTGTTTATACTCCCAAGACGGCGGAAGATCGCGGGCGTTAATAAAATCGCGGCCTTCTCCCCTTCCATGAACTTGACCGATTTGAACGACAACGTCTCGAAGGTCCGAAGCGGCACCAGATCTATATGAAACCGAATCTTCAGATCCTGAGCGAACTGACACAGATTCTCCCTAATCAACCTACTCTCAATCGCAAATTCCTCCGGCACCACCGCCGTTATCCGTAGCACCGGCGGAATCATCTTCCTGGACTCTGCCTTCTCTGCAATCTCCTTCATGAAAGACGCGTACTGCCCTCCAAACCCAATATCAAAATCAACAATATGAATGAAAGACGAACCGTTAAGAGCTTCAAGAAGCGCCTGATTGGTAGTGAAGTGAGAGAACATGGGAATTGGAGAAATTGCAGAGAAGACCTTGTAAGCCCTGATTGTATGAACAATTTCGGGCCAGGAGGAGAGGCGATTGTGGCGATTGGAGGCGGAGAGGAGAGATTGAAGAGCCTCTTTGAAGAAGAAGGCGGCCCGCTGAACGGGCTTCCCGGTGGAGGATTGAAGGCGTTGATTGAGGCGCTCCAATATGACGTGGGCGAGTTGGAAGTCATTGGAATCGAAACAATCAGCGGTGCGGACTATGTCTTCAAGGAATTCGCAGGAGAAGTTGTTGGAATTGGGAGCCGCCAAATCGAAGGAATTGAAGGTGGGGGTGTGGTTGGAATAGGGGGGTTCAGAGAGGAAGAAATCAGGGGAAACCAGATGGGTTTGATGATCGAAGGGGTGGGAGTGGAGGAAATCAGGGAATTGAGGAACATGATTATTGGGATTGGGATTGGGATTGGGATCGGGGTTTGGGTTTTTGGGAGCAGAGTTGGAGTCATCGTGCAAGCCCAAATCTCCCATGATGGAGTCCCAGTCGAGGTTGTGGAGGGCCTGTTCATCCCAGTCCAGAGAAGGGTTGTTGTTGTTGTTGACGTTGGGANGATCGTCAGTGGGGAGGAGTGGAGCGGAGGAGAGGGTGTGGGGGTCAGGCGCCACAGGGCTGGGGCTGCGGCGGAGGTCGAGGACGGAGGTGGGTTCGTAACAGGGGTTGGTAATATTGGGGGTGGAGGTGGGGGTGGGAGTGGGGGTGGCGACGGCGGAGGGCGAGGAATTGAGTTTAGGGTTTGGAGAAGAAGAGGGTATTTGGTGATTGGAAACAGGAACTCTCATAGCTAGCTAAGATGAGAAGAAGAAGAAGAAGAAGAAGAAGAACAACAACAACAACAACAAGGGTGGGGCTGTGGAGGTAATGAAAGAAGCCTTTTTATGATGATTGAGTGAGTTAGCGTGTTTTGTTTAACCAATGCCAAAAGGAGCTGGCCACATAAAAGGATCCTCTTCGGAAAATGGAACTACCCAACTATCCACTCCAGTCCCTCGCCTTTTTTATTTTTTTTACCATACCAATTAATTCTTACCTTTCACTTTCCATTTTAAATTCAGTAACAGTTCAATTTTTACTTTCCCACCAGTTCCTGTATGAGAAATTGTGAAGATTTAATTAATTTAATTTTAAATTAATTAATAAAAAAAAACTGAATTTAAGGTAAAAACTGTCATGTTTGCTCCTGTTTAAAATTTTATTTATTTATTCTAAATGCAAAGATATAAATGTTTTTGTTTGAGTTCAATTATAAGTTTTTTTGACCATAGATGGTATCCATTAGTTATTTAAACTTTCAAAGTTGCTTTTTTAAAAAATTGAATCTATAATCTTTAAAGGGAATAGAGATGTCATAATTACTAGATTATAATGGGGTTCACAAGTACTTTTAATATTTACCTTCAATTCAATCCATCCAAATTATTCTACCATCTCAATTATTAGATATAAAATTAACAAAAACAAACACAAACCTATCAAAATATTTTAATTTTTTTATACATGTATTTAATTACATCATTGTTATATAAATTATTTGATTAATTATTAATAAAAATTTCGTAATAGTAATACCTATTTTCATTTCAAGATTTAGACTAAAATTTATAATCCGGATGTGATACTAGTCGATTCCAACATGATCAGGTATTAGAGCTTCACTCGAATCTAAACTTTATATCTTAGTCCAAAATCTCCCTAAACTTTAATGGTTACGGATCATGAGTCTCTTTCTTGCAATTAAAAAGTATTGAAAAAAAAAAAAAGAAATGGGCAAATGGCATGACATACATGAGGAACAAGTAATATGGGAAAAAGATGGGGGCATGATCGACACTAGACAGAGGACTGCCCCCTCTCTTTTTCATCTCTTACAAGCTTCCCTTTGAAGCCTAATCTTGCTTTTTTTGCTTCCATGTTTGCTTTTTTTTTTTATTCTTGGGTTGGTTCGGTTTCGGCTTTGGCCTATTAGTTTCGCTTGTTCGTGTGTGAAACGAAGCCGAGAGTTTAGCCGAGAAGCCAAGCCAAGCTGTGGAAAGCAAGATAGGTCAGAGAGAAACTTTATTGCCCTCACAAGGGGAGGCTGATTAAACAGAAAAGAAAAAGATGTTTAGGCTTATGGTTAACTGAATAATATATAAACCCTTTTTATGAGTTTTTAAAAAATTTGGTAGTTTTTGTTTCTTTCATTCTACTTTGTGGCTTAAACCATTGTTTTATGCTCTATCTGCTTTACCCCAATAATTTTAAATAAACAATAATAATTTAAATATTAATTTTAACCATTCTTCTTCTTTTCCATCCTCAATGGCATATCCAAAAATATTCAAAAGTTTTGAAATGGAGAGCTAAGACTTTTGTAATATGCTCTCTTAAAATTTTTATAAATGAAATTCGTAAGTTATATTCTCTCTCGTGTCAATGAAGTGGTTAGGCGGGTTCGTATGATAATAAAAAGTAAAATTAAAAAAAAAAAAAAAAGGCATTAAAATGAAAAGAATTTCCCTCCAAACCTAGGTAGCGAGACAAGGTGGTTGAGAGACCAGGTAAAAAGAAAAGAGAAGAGGGGAGGGGAAACATACTGAAAAGAAAAGGAAGTGAAAGAAGGCAAAGTTGAGCATTAAAGTGAGTAAAGTTGGGGGCACTACAAGTTATAACACAACAACCTTTACTTATCCCTCCAAAAAAGCATACCCAAAAGAGCTATCATTCCCAACTTTAAGAATTGGGAGACTTGTAGCTATGTGCCAACTTCATCATCCAAATAAAACCAACAAAAAATAAAAGAGATTCCCCTACTCCTCACTCAACACAACTCTTCCCTCTCTTTTTAGTTTTTTACCAACATTGTCGTCCCCCACCTCTTCCAACCTCTTCTTCTACGGAAAATCTTAGTAAGAGGTGGCCATCAAAGCTCAATAGTATACATAAAGTAAGAGAACAAGGAATAATACATTTTTTATTATTATTATTATTTCATGTAGTTAATAAGTTTGGAACAATAAAATGTAAAATAGAAACTATAATGAATGGATCCAAATCAAATCTAAAACGGAAGTACAAATTTTCAGTTATTTAGTTTTGTATAGTATATTTAGTTGATAACAACCGTCTAGAAAGACAAGTGGCATAATGGCCACATAAAGGCTTAAGTGGGTCCCACAAATTGACGAGGACTTTTGTCGCCAGTCGGCCATCAGTTGACTGCTTATGTCCCACAGGCCCACTAATTTGTCCAACATCAAAAACATGTACCACCACACGCAACCCAACAGCGCGTCGTTTCCATGCACCTCCAACTTATTTTTCGAATGTATTTGCTTCATAAAATATTT